TTGGGGTGACAGAGTGAGACTCCAACTCAAAAAAAAAAAAAAAAATCAGCCGGGTGTTGTGGCGTGTGCCTATAGTTCAGCTACTTGGAAGGCTGAGGCACAAGGATCACCTAAACCCAGCAGGTCGAGGCAGCAGTGGCTGTGAGCATGCCACTGTACTCCAGCTGGGCGACAGAGTGAGACTCCAATTCAAAAAAAAGCAAAAAAGGAAGGAAGTTCTGACACCTGCTACAAGGATGAGCCTGGAAGACACTGCTCAGTGAGATAGACCAGTCACAGAAAGACAACACTGCCTGATGCTACTCATGGGAGGTACCCAGAGTCATCACACTCAGAGACAGAAGGTAGATAGTGGGTTCCAGGGCTGGGGAGGGGTGGGGAGGGCATGTGGGATAAGTCTCCATTTGAGACAATGAGAACGTTCTGGAGATGATGGTGGTGATGGCTGCACAACACTGTGAATGGATCTAATGCCACTGAGCTGTGCACCTACACAGATGGTCAGTTTCACGTGGTATGTGTTTTGCCACCATAATTTGCTAAAGGCCCCAGCCTCCTGCCCAGCCACCCCAAGCCCTCGGTGAATGGGACACACCCACTTCCCCCTCTGCATGGACACCCTCACTAGTCCCATTCCCAGCAGATCTGAAACCCCAGGCCCCTGAGGGTCTCCGACTCACCATACTTCTGAACCTCAAAGGACTTGTTGTACACGTGGCCCTGCATTTCCACAAACATGAACCACTCTCCCAGCACGGGCTGGTCGGACAGGGGGAAGCTCATGTTGGTGACACCTGTGTGAAGAGAGACACCCTCCATGTTTCGTGAGGGCCCAGCCCAGAGTCTGAGGTGAGAGAAGGAAGAGAGACAGGGACTCTACTCCTACCCCTGCCCTGGGCAGCCCCCGGGGGCTGGAGACCTTGCAGAGGAGGGTGGCAGGCCACTGCAGGGCAGGCACTAGAGCAGACCCAAGACCTTGGCAGGCCGCAGGGGGATGCAGGACGCGGCCACAGCCACGACCGGGTGAGGCAGTGAGCTGGATGCAGGAGGGAGAGGGGGAGCCCCCCAAGCCATCCCAGCCTCGGTTCTGCTGACATCTGAGGCTGCACCACCCTCCAGGTGGGGTGTCCTGTGCTCTGGTGGGTGCTGAGCAGCATCACTGGTCTCCACTCTCCAGAAGCCAGCTGTACCAACCCGCCACAATATGGCCACCTAAAAAGTCTCCAAGTATTGCCAATATCCCTAGGGACAAAATGGCCACATGGGTGGGAGTCATTAACAGATGACAGATAAATAGATGATAGATAGATGAGAGGAGAGGCAGACAGATAACAGATGAATAAATAGAGGTAGAAAGATAGCTGATAGAATGGATGAGAGATAGCTAAAGATAGATGAAACAGATGATAGAATGAATAAATATGAATAGGATGACCACAGATGGACAGACAGACAGGACAGGTGATAAATGGATGGATAACAGAGAGACAGATTGAAGGGCAGAATAGATGGTAGATGGATAAAGAGATAGAACGCATAGATATAGACAGGCAGATGACAGATGGGTAGACGGACAGACAGAATGGATAGGTGACGGAAGGATGGAAGGATGGGTGGGTGAATGGGTAGGTAGGTCGGTAGGTAGATAGATGATAGATAGAATGCATTGATATAGGTCGAATAAATGACAGCTCGATGAACGAGGAGAGAGAAAGAACAGAAGACAGATAGGCAGGAAGGCTAGGTGATGGATGAATGGATGGGTGGACACATAGAGTAGACAGAGGATGGACGGATAGAAAGGGTAGATGACAGATGTCGGACAGGACAGATAGATGGCAGATTAAATAGATGACAGATGAATGGGTGATCGAGAATACAGAGGACAGAATGGATAGATGTGGCCGGTATAGATGACAGACGTGTAGACTGATAGATAAGATCGATGCTGGACCGATGGATAAATAGATAGGTAGCAGATGAATGAATGAACGGATGGATAGATACACAAACAGACAGAGTAGACAGAGGATGGATGGATGGGAGAATGAGCAGACATAGAATGGACAGACGATAGACAGACGGATAGATAGATACATAGATGACAGATTAGGGAGATGATAATCAATCAATCGATAGATATAGATAGATGATAGGTGGATGGATGGATGGATGGGTGGATGGATAGGTAGGTAGGTAGGTAGGTAGACAGACAGAAAGAAAGATAGACAGACAGACAGGCAGACAGACATAATAGATTACATTAGATGGATGGGTGGCTGGATAGATAATACACAGACGACAGGTAGGGTAGATGGGTAGATGGATGGATGGACGGATGATGGATTAGATGGATGGACGGCTAGACAGAGAAAAACAGGACAGCCAGGCTCGCATGCTACGGAAGCGTTCTTCATCTAGCACTGCTGCTCCTGGGGCCTGGCTCACCCTCTGGGGTGGGCATCCTGTGCACTGCCAGGTGTTGAGCAGCGCCCTTTGTCTCCCACTCGACGGCAGAAGCGCCCCCTCCACCTGCCCCGGCAAGTTGTGACAACCCAAAATATCCCACCAGTACCAGGGTCCAGAGGAGCAGCACGCCCTTCGTGAACGGAAACTCACACAGTTTCTGAGCAGAGCTCCGCCCCCACACATTGCCCAGGAATATCACCAGCTCCGGCCCAGGAGATGCCACCGGCTTTGGGTCTGCTCCAGGTCCCGCCTGGGACTCAGCTGTCCCCGGGAGGTGATGGAGGTGTGAGCAGACAGGGAATTCAGGCAGTGCTGGGGGGGCTGTCCCCTCCCGAGCATGGTACACTCCACCATCCCCGACAGGCAGGGTGGGCAGCTCCCAGGGACTTGAGGCAAACCCAGAGCCCACGGTGCACACACGTCTCCCTCACAAAGAATTGGCAAACGTGAGACTGAGACGATCATTCCCTACATACTCAAAGGAAAGGTGGGCCCTTGGTGGTCACAGGACAGGGTGACACATGTCATGAACACATGATTTCTAAGACACCAGTGGCCAACTCAAACGCCCCACGAAAAGCATAAACTGCCCTGGCTGAGCACGCAGGATACACATTTTTTTTTTTTTGAGTTGGAGTCTCACTCCGTTGCCCAGACTGGAGTGCAGTGGCC